CTTCGCGTTTTCGCGGAAAATATGTGGAGTTTTATTTATTGATATAAAAAAATATAAACATATTTTTAATTTCGCTTTCCCCACTCGAAGGAAATCGTTTACTAACATACTTCCGTGAGGTGCTTAACTGAGCTTCTGTCAGATTTGAACGGCCCTCATCATCATCATCATCATCAGCCCTTTTACGTCACCAACTGCAGGAGCTCAGGCCTTCCTTATGGATGGTTAAAGAGGATGGGCCACGACCCTCCATGCTGGCCCAATGTGTATTGGAGGATATTAACGACTGCAAATACAACCGGGACCAATCGCTTTACGTGCTTTCCGAAGCTTGGAGTTGATTGAGATAATATTTTTTAGTCATCCATCCTGTGCCCGACCTTTGCGAAAGTTGCTTAATAACTACAATCGCGGGCCATGGTGCTTATTCACTACGCCAACGAGCTACTCTGGACCGATCCTCAAACTCGCGTAATATTATATGAGTGTTTCCAGCGAAGACTGAAAATACCAACTTTGAAGTACGTATCTACAGCAATTTGTATCTTAAAAAAAAAAAACAAAAAGAGTATTAACATAAAAAATAGAAATAAGAGAAAAAAATGTATATAACTCGAGTTGTCTTTACGTTCTTAACTTCAGTTGACGTGAATCTAAGTTTTTTAACGTCGTAGAAAAACTTCTGATATTGTCTCTGTTACCTGATAAGCAACAGGGGTGAGTAGGATTCTCCTCCGTGAACCCGACAGTGAGCTGCCCGGTGGGTCCCCAGAGGCCTACCCACCAAAACCCGTACTCTACACCCTTTCATGGGAAATAAAAACCGGCAAGCTATGGCCGAGTCACCAGGACACTCAAGTATTGGACCATTGGTCCCCTTGCAGATGAACGAAACCGTGCAATGTGGGAGCGGCTGCCAACCACCTCTGCTGGCCCCGACGATGACGTGAACCTAATCTGATAAAAATATGCGTTCACTGTAAACTACCCGAGGCTTAATTGCATCATCGGAAGGCTCTTTCCGCTTGTTCTCCTACTCGTGTGATCGTATACCACATGTCCATTATAAGCTGAACCCTATTTAATATGATTGGCCATATATAAATGAGGTCAACTAACTTCGGATAAGTCAAAATTTTGGAATCTTATTTTTTTATTTGTCATCATCCAAATTATCATTTTATAAACAATATTAATTCGTAGCTCGGTGGTGGTACGGATATGCGCCGTTGCGCACGATCGCTATTGCTAAGCAATTTTCACAAGAGTTGTTCACGGGATGGGTGACCAAAAATTATTAAACAAAGGCCTGAGGCCCTACAGTTTGGCTGTGAAAGAATTAATGATGATGATTAATATATCAAAGACGAAAATTTAATAAAACAGTAAATATTTCATAGCAATTTTGGCGACCACGTCACTTCAAATTGACATAACTTTTTTATTTGTGAACCGATTAAAATAAATCTTACACTGAATGTTAACAGAAGAACACCGCAATATATTAGCTGCATATTAACTGCATTAAAATCGGTTCAGCCGTATCTGAGATTATCGTGCACAAACGCACAGACAAACAGACAAACCGACAACAGACAAAAAATTTAAAAATCAATGTTTTGTGTTCTATTACTCTTATAAATGTCCCTCATAACAGTTTTTTTCATATATCTTCAATGTACAGACATCGATCGGTTACGTTTTTATTATAGTATAGAAGAAGATTATAATGACGGTTTCAAAATGGTTGAGAATAAAAATATAGCTATAAAAGAAATTTCAGTAAAAAAACTCGAGAAAATTAGAGACATGTTATAGTAAAAAATGAACCGATAGTGTGCTAGAGATATCCATCACACTATGTCAATAAACCTATCATCTACAAGTTAACAATGTTGGAAAAATGTACCAACATACAGATTGTAACATTAAGAGTTACAATGTATAAAGATATACTATAAGATCATCGATTTTAGTAAAAAAAAAAACTGCACTGAATAAAAAACCATTCAAAATCAAAGTTAAAATTTCGATGAATTGAGAGGCTACTCCATTTTTTGAAGGATGTTGTGATTGATTTCATGGTTATTTTTCTCATAATTATCTAAATTGTATAAAATCTAAAATCTAACTCACATTACCTAGTTTTATTATATTTGTACTTAACCTATTATTACAACTAAAGATCATCTTAAGATTTTTTGTACATAAATTAAACAAATCTGCATTGCACAACATTATAATAAATAAAAATTATACATCGAATCGTCAAGATAACGTATTTACAAGTATAAGGTATTGCCAACTGGGGCCTTAATTATTCACAAAAGTTTGCTGTCCTGAGATAAGCCTCAGTGGAAATAAGCCTGTTACAGAACAGTTGGTAGACTAATTGCTCGAGTTGGATTGGATTGTGGGCGCCCAGATGAATTACCTGCCACGTGATACGGCCACACTCGCATAATGTGCGAACAAGATTTAACAGAATTAGACAACACAGATATGCAAGGAAATCTGAAACAGCGAAGGTTATTGACTTCTTTTGAAAGTTTGAAGAATATCAAAAAGCCTTCTCGGATAATTTACATTTTATTGAGTTTTATTGAAGTCACTTTCATGATTTTTTTTTCAAATGTAAAACTCATCTCAATATAATGACCACTACGTTCCATCTAAAATAATAATTAAGGCGTTAATCTATTTATAATTTGTTAACTAATAGACAAAACTGTATCATAAAAGATCCAGTAAAAATAGCGTTATTATAATAATACTTTTTTCTATTCAAAACAAAATTTACATTGCAAACAACAGAACTGATGTTTTTGCCGTTTATTCTAGCGGACATGGAATATAAAGAAAAATAATTTATCATCCGAAATAGCCGCCGAATAATAAGATTAAAGTGTCGACGGTTGGCAACATTGGAAGCCTGTGATTAGGGGGTGATTTGCGTGGGAGGAAAATACACTTTGTATATTACCGCGAAGGCTAAGGTTGGTACTCCTGAATTGTCTTATTCATGTCTTGAACTATTATTATGATAATGTCTAGAGATGCCGATTTAACGAATATTCGTTTGTTTTTCGATATTCGGCGTATTCGGCACCTTTTTTACTAAATATATTCGGTCTAATTATTCGGTTTTGATGCCGAATATATTCAGTTCTAGTATTTCTATTTTCTTAGCTACACAACATTGTACAGTAATTAAAGACAAAACTTCATAAGTAAGATTTAATAAAAGAAGATTTAATACTGTTAGTCAAAGAAATCTTACGAAGTATGTTGTACTGGTAACACGGCAAAACAGTGAAATGGTATACTGAATAATTCCGCCGAATATCCGGTTCGGTAAAAGTTAAACCGTATAGTATTCGGTATTCGGTGAAACCACTATTCGGGGCATCTCTAATAATATCAAATTAAATTGAATATTACTGTGTCACACTGGCACAGAAACTCGCTGTCGATGAAACTGTCGATGTCGATGATCATCACTAGATGGCACTACTATACAACTTTGTTAATAAATTCCCGAATTTTGCATTCACAATGCCATAATGAAAATTATTCTTAACACAAAATGCTTTAAAAATCCACTTGGTCCCAGGCACCCTGAGATGGAAATCGAACCCACGACCTTTCGCAATCCGGGCGACTGCGAAATTCTCTGTAGTAGCGAAAAGTAACAAGTGCTTGAACTGAAATGCGCCTAATAGTGGTTATGTACACACGGCTGCATATCAGATTACCACGATATGTCAAATTTCTCCAGTTATTTTAAAATCTTCCCTCAGAATTATTAAAGTTTAACAACAAGCGCAGGAGAAATTTGTATAACCAGACGTTTTATTAGCAGCTGCTGTTGACTATACTAATATAATATATTAAAATTTTAGGGAATCGTTCAGATTAATGTAAACTGATATATATAACTGTACTTATACACAATACCTTTTTATGAAAGTTTTGATTAATTATTCGATAGCGCAAGCTAGAAGGAATGTACAGATTAAAAATTTAAGATAAAGCTCTCTGGATTTAAATAGGAGAATAAAATTAAAACCTTATCTGTCTAGCAACTCTGTTGCTTTAAGACAAGATAAAGAAGACAATATTTAAATGACACCACTATAAGCAAGCAAATTATCTACATAATATCATAGTATTACGAGAAGAAACGACTCCAGCGCGAGGTACTGTAAATATGTATGTACAATATTTAGTATAATACCTATAGATTTTGTTTAAAAAAATATAGGTCTTACGGTCAGTCAGCAGTGAACTGATTACTGTGGTTGAAGCGAGATGGTTGTATACACGTGTATAATAATAGTATATCATTCAGACTATGACTTTTGCATAACATTTTAGAATTCATAATAACGCTTCAGGTGTCTGATACAGTTTATCCTTATGTTAGAATTTCTGCTGAGATAAATATCAATATAGTATTTTGAATGCATAATTTAACAAAAAAATAAGATCAAATATTTTTATTCCGCCAAATATTTCCTTTAGATATTGTAATCCCGAAGTTTATGTAAATGAAGTTCTGACAGAAACAAATCTGCAAAAGAATTAATTAATTCTTTTGATTTAATTTTGTTTTAAGGTAACTTATAATGTTTATATAAGTAAGATTATCTAATGCATTATTAATGAACCATGAGAGATAACGTTCATTACGATAATACCCTAAAAATCTCGGTAATGAATTGTTAATCACCATAAAAACATTTCATTTTCTTTTATACGGAATTATGAAATGGTAATTATTCCTTTTTATAAGCATTTTATTTTGAATACCCTGATTGGTCTGGTGACAGTAACCTGTCAACCTGACATAATATTTTCGTCATATCAATCAGCGTTTCAGTTGCGCGGTAGATAACAAGAATAAAGATAGAGAAGAGTAAGACGACAACTGTCGTAAAAGAAATGAAAGAGACGAATGCGAGAAAGAAACAGACAAACGTATAAAAGCACGAGAAGTAGCACCAGCAAGATCTTGTATGGAAGAAACTAGAGTAGTAACTAAGTGGATACTGTAGAAAATAAAAACAAAATGGAGGACATTGACTACTTATCTTGGAATCAGAACAACGTAAATAAACGTAAATAAAATCAATAAATTAAATAAATTTTCTACGCGTCAATGTGGTGTTGAAAATTTATTTCAATCTCCACATTCGACTTGGATTTATCAGCTTTAGAAGTCTCTTAGCCGGTTTTCATTTGTTGTTGATCAGCTTAAGTATGGGTTTAACATTTTATATTAGTATGGAACCCTTGGATGTATTTTATTGTAAATGTGTTTTATTTAAATTTTAATCATATATATAAATTACTTCATTATTTAGTGTTAATTTGTTTTATAAAAGTATAACTGACTACAATTATTATGACGAAGAAATCATCAAGACGAGCACAGTAGATTTTTTTTTAGCAATATTCCTGAAAACAAGGATGAAAGCTTGCTATCTTCCGCTGCCTCATTACCTACCACAGAAGCACCTCAGTATTCCTGGTTTATCTTTTGTTTCTATCAAGACATACTATAGACTCGGAATTGCGGTTGAGGGCAAAACTTGTCCTGTTGTAATCCGCTTTACTAGATCTGATGCTCTCAGAAATGTATGGAGAAGCAAGAGTAAACTTAAACGCTCCTTTGCAGTACTCTCTGAATTTTTAACCAAAGCACGCCAGGTTTTGTTCCAAGACACTCTCAGGCACATCGGTATGACTAATGTTTGGACATTGGGAAGCAATATTTATATAAAAACACCGAATGATAGCCGTGTAATGGTACATACCCCTGAGGATCTTCAGATATTAAATAAGCATCATCAAAAATGTGTGTTTGAACTCAGGTTCAAGTGCAACTAATACCAAGGATTCTTCGAATGCTGTGTTGAAATTGACTACTGTTAAGGCAAGACGCTCGCTTTAAACTTTATTGGCATTTACTTTTCATAGTTAATCTGCAGGTAGTTGTTTAAGGTGTGCTACTTTTTTTTTAATGGCTTATCTCTACATTTTGCATAATTCTGTCAATGTCAAGTGAATAAATTAATTTCGACATGAAAAATTAAAATGAAATGAATGAATTATTGATGGCGATTATTCTTTTACTTCTATAATATATATTTTTAAATCTACTTATTCTTAAGTTTAGACAAAATTACAGTAATAACCTCAGAATAGCCATTTTGTTAAAGTCGAAGAAACCTTTGTCCATGTAGCTTAATCTTAAACTATTATTTTTTGTTAGTAGCTGTCAAAAGTGAAAAGTTAGTTTTAATTGTTGTTTATAATAAATGAGCAATTTTAAATGAAATTAATGTTACTGAAATATGTATTTCTACCAATTGCATAGTGCAGATTGATCTATCTTTGTTATATTAAATTTTACAATTTTTATATTTGTGTCGAATGTCTCAGGGTGGTCCAAAACTCAGAGTTTGCCTAGCTTGTTTCTCTAGAGATAATCTTATTTTTCTTGCTTATAAGGTTAAACCACCCAAATCTAAACCAACCACTATCATGATGCGTAACTTTGCTAAGATGGATGTGGAGGAACTTAAGCAAGATGCCTGTTCACTTGATTAGTCCCCTATATTTGGTACTCTGTGAACGATATCGTTACTTATTGAAACTTCTAATTAAAATTCCTATTCCCAAATCCTTCGGTCATTATAGACAAATATCAATTCTCCCCTTTCTCTCTAAAATCGCTCTAGACGGTTTTGACAATTCTCGACTGACAGTATTGGTTCTAATTGACTTCTCAAATTTGTTGAACACAGTTAACCATGATATTCTCTTAGCTATTCTGTCTAAAATTGGTTTCTCTTTTTCAGCACATATGTGGTTATCTTCTTATCTTCGAAGTCATAAGCAAGCCCTTCGTATTAATCATAAGTTATCTGACTGGTGTGATCTGGCTTCCGGTATTCCACAAGGCGGCATTCTTTCACCCCTGCTATTTTGACTTCTCATTAACTCTCTTACTTCCCACTTCAGTTCTTCTTATCGATTCTTTCCGGACGATTTAAAAATGTACGGGCAAAATAACTCGCATAACCTTAATGATGCGGTCTCATTGGTCAATCGTAATCCCTTAAATTTATCTGAAAGGTCCTGCCTATCATTGATTATGTAGATATCTGCTTTCCTCATATAAATTAAAATCTTCACAAGAAGTTGGATCACCTTCTCAGTAACTGTATTCTCTTCATTTATTGATTAAGTTAGTACGACCATATTTCTCATTACCGCCTAAAACTCAAGGGACTTCCTATTCGTGAGCGTAGGAATTTAAAAGTTATCCCATGTCCCAGCATATCTGAAATCTAGATTTTAGTTTCTGGGTTCCTCTTATGACCGATTACGGTCATTTCGCTCATGTAACAGCCTTCTTCTGGAAACTCCTGTCCACCATTATGGTTTCGTTTCCTACTCCTTATCTCTTACCGCCAAACGACCCTGGAATGCTTTACCCCTTACCATTCGGAAAGTACAAAATATATGTCAGTGAACATTATCATAAAGTTGTAAATTAGTCCCATCGCATCTGATTTATTTTCGCAAATATTGTAATTTCATGAATATGTCTACATTCTTATATACATTATATAGTATTATATTTATTATTATTATAAATAATATTATGTATTACTTTATGTCACTGAGGTTTATTTTCCTCCATGATGAAGATTAAAAAAATAAATATTTTTATATAGTTAAGATGAAATATATTAGCCGTAAAATCGATTAAAAAACCTAAATATTTAGAATCATCTTTGGGATTTTATTTCTGTCGAGCCAACTATTAAAATTTATGTTTCAGTTCTTAGCAAGCAATCAATTATATTTCTATGTTTAATATTCATAAAATGATTTTTATTTAGCAAATATTAGCAAAGCCTTAGAATAAAATTGGTTTAAAAGATGTTAATTTCGTACAACCTCGCTTATGGAACAATAGCGATGTACCGCTCGCTGCACGGATTAAGCATGGCCTTAAGAGCTCATGGTTAGGCCCCTGGACCTTTAATAGAGTTTCTTGTGAATTGTAAACATACTTCCTCTTTTTTTAATTTATCCCCTTCATGAATATTTAAATCGCGTCAGAGGCCTTTTGAAAATTATTAGGTTGTAGGTGTTTTGATTAAGTAACTTGGCCATTGCATAATATTAACACGCACAAGTTTTTCTTTAACCTTCAATGAATATTATAGGGCTCGTTTGGGCCTTGAAAAAGAAATACGAAACCATTATAGGATAAATTGCGGGACAGTTTGTCGTTTTTGTTTGATCAAAATTTACTATAAATTAAATAAGTTTGTTATAGAATAGAAATGTAAATACACGGACTGTTGTATTTAGAATATCCTTTTTTTCTAGTTTCTTTGCATTATAAAATAGACTATTCCTACTATTATTCTCCTATTGAACACCATGACAATACTTACTTTTTTAGTAGTCTGGTATGAGATTAGTTGGCATCTTACCTGTAACAGAAAAAGAAACAATTAATATTTTGTTTAAAACACAAATCGTTGTCATTTTAAGTTCGAGCTGTATGTGTTTATATTAAACTAATTTACCACTAGATTTTAATAAACTTTCATCTGTAAACCTAACAGATATAACTTAGAAAATCAATACATCACACCACCAGCCTATCAATGTCCCCACTGCTGGGGCTCAAGCCTTCCCTATGGATGGAATCGAATTGGGCGAATGGCCCATCACGTTGTCCCACAGCGGATTGGTGGGCATTAACGAATGCAGATGCAGCTGGCACCAACGGCTTAACGTGCCTTCCGAAGCACGAAGGAGTTCGAAATAATAAATCTTTGGCCACCCATCCTATGACGGGGCATTGCGAAAGTTGCCTACCAATCGTATCGTAGACCGAGAGCACTAACCAATGCGCCATCGAAAGCCTCAACCGAATGAAAATCTATACATAACTTGACATAATCATTCTGCACCTGAACTATATCATTATAACTGCAACTTGATATTCGAATACCAGTTTGCTAATGGTGTCGGTCAGAGGCGACAGATTGGTTAACCGTATATAACTGATACCATAGAGTTATTTGTCATATATCAATTCTATACATCGAACAGGTGACCGCAGACCCTTCTCATGTGGTGTATTAGGTTTCAATATGACGTATGAGTTTTTAACGAGCTTTTATGATTTTCACCTTTCTGTAATCAAATCTTGCAAACCAAATTTCACCCACTTCCCTGTTTCCAACTGATACTTGAAATATACCTTTAGTTCTGATGACAATACAAATATATGAACCCAAAATGGCCGCCGTTAAATGGCGGCATACATATTTCTGAAAATCCCACCCATGATGCGTATCAAATGAAAGGTCTTAACTTGTGGAATATATAAAAGCTTGTTTAGAAAAAAAAATTTTTTTTACTTAAAAAAATAACTAAATAATTGATACTACACCTATTCGATCTTTTTTTAGATCAATAAAATGAGCTCATAGAAATTTGCTGCGCTTCTTATGCGAACATTGAAGGGACAATATCCGAAATACCGTCTTTAAAGTTCGATAAGTAGATAACCCTGTGACTGGTTCGGAATTAGTTGTTGGTTGGAAAATAAAACGGCTGTCTAGGTTTGATAAGTTAGTATATTTATAGTCTAAATAAAAAAACTGTAACAACAAACAAAAAAGAAATAAAACAATAGTTTTTATGAGTTCCTAAAAATATGATCAGAAGTAGAAACAATTACATACAAGGGGTATGTAATTGTTCTTGGGTTTATTTAGAAGATACGATGCAAATTTATACACATACACTTCATTAATACAACTCGTAAATCACAGTATAGATTTTAAATGTACATAATAAAAATATTTTATAAATTTTCAGTGACGATCGTGTTTTTGCCGGAAGATTTTTTTACGAACTGACATTCAAAAAGAGCAAATCGCGTTACTCAAAAATTTAATTTACAAAAAATGAATAATAAAAAAGAAATGATGTTAAAGATCAAATACAAAAAATTTGGATGCGGAAACCTAGGACAAAATAAACTGTGTGGTTAACACACCGTTACAACCTTACGACGAATAAGTTATTTAAGCTGGATTTCACCATAATAGCAGTTAAAGTTGTGGTCTATATCAATTTTGACAATAACTATGAAGCTGACTTTAACCTTAACCATGGAATGTGTTGCACCATCCTCTTTTTTGTATAGTAAAAACAACAACTAACCAGTGGAGCTTGAGCGATTATAGTTAACAGTTAAAGTAATGACATCTTCTAAACAAATGCCAAATGGTGCAACTGATTATTTTCATAACCAGTACTTTAAGATGTTTGTTATTGTTAAAGCAAGTTGCAACCGAGACTTAGATGTGTTTTTATCTGCAGTATTTAATAGGAGGATCGAATTAAGAGTTACCAGTTGGTATGTTGCTGGTTATCGAACTTTTCGGAGATATCGCGTGACCTTATTTAGGCTGGCGAAATTGAAATTGAATATAAACTTCATGCCAAGAATATCGAAATTATCGGTTATGGATAGCCCCTCGAAAGTAAAAAACAAGTTAAAATTACTCTTTTTAGTGCGAACAGATGATATTGAAAGGTCATGTTTCTCATTGGCCTAGAAATTAATTATTTTAGAAGATTATTCATTTTTCTGGAAGTTTTAAACCCCTTGATCAAAAATATTTCGAGACAAACTAAATAGTAGTTTATTAATAATAGAATTAAATAGCTGATTATGAAGAACCCTTTAAGTACAAACATTTAATTCTGTTTTGACTAGATTATTATTTTTATATGTATGTACATACTGACTGAATGTAGCACAATATAACACTTAAAGTTCAATACTATTAAATATGGGACCACCTCGGGCCCATAACCTATATAATAAATATAAAATTTTAAATATCGGTGTAAAATTCGCGGAATATTCATTCATTCATTTCATTCGCGCTTCTCATTTTCGATTTTGAAGTCAGTTGAAAATAATTATACGTGAATTTTGTATTGGTTATTAATTAATATATAATATAAAACGCTTGATTTCAATAGAAGTTTCTTGAATGATTTCCTAACATTATTAAGATGAATTACTGGAAACTATTTTTTTTTATATTAAAAAAGGCTAACCCAATAAAAATAAGTAGATAAACATAATACATAAACATAAACTAACTAAATTAAGGCCACGTGTTCAAATACTGAAACAGACTAACATTATATATGAATATTGCAACATTCCAAATAAATTACTTTCATACATACAGCAATATTAGCTATCTCATCTTATTATATACAAGATGATTATTATTTCATCAAAGCTCTATGGTTTTAACAGCTCTACGCTTGACACCGAGTTGAAGGATGTTTTTTAACAGACTAACATAAGTAGATCAAATTATAACTTTATTTTTGAAGTAATTTAATAAGTAAATGTTTTTATTATCAAGTTG